ACCAGTGTCTCTGTCAGAGATTTTCCAATCTGACCATTTACAGCCTCCCACACTTCATTCCCAGAACATAAACCTACTAGGACTGACATGGCTGATGTGGCATAGGTGACTCCATTTTGTTTCTGTGCTGCGTTTTAAAAGTCACTTAAACTCCAGATGAACTTACTCCTCTCCTCCTCCCATTTAGTTAACCATAAAACCCACAGGGGAGGAACAGGTCGTTGACTTAACAACGGTGAGGACAAACTGTAGGGTAAACTAAAATTTAACCGTGTCCTGCTTGACTAACAAACCCCTGGAAATGCAAACCTTGTGATACACCTGCAAAATTCCAAAAGTGAAGTAATGTAGTTGGCATGGTTACCTGCAAATGTATAAAAGCTCAGTATAAAGTTCTCTCAGGGTGGACATTTCCTGATTCCCTGTTGGACTGTCCCCCTCAGGTGAGAATATTCGATTTATATTTGATTTGTATCCAATACAAATATCCAATTTGTATCTGATTCTCCCTAATTCTGCTTAATTCTCCCTAATTCTGCCATGATGAGGAGTCCCAATGTGTATTTTATTTTATGTATTTATTTTTTGTTCTTTTTGAGACAGGGTCTCACTATGCAGTTCAGGCTGACCTTGAGCTCACTTTGTAGCCCAGGCTGGTCTCGAACTCACAACGATCCTCCTGCCTCAGCCTCCCAAGTCCTGGGATTACAGGGGTGCGCCACCACAGCCAGCCCCCAATGTGTATTTTAAAGCAAGTTCCCTTGAGTTACGTGGGTGAGCACCACACTTTGAAAAGTCCTGCTCTCCAGCAAGTTTTTCACATCTGGACCAAAGCACATGGAATTAACAACAGATTTTAACCCAAAGAGTTTTAGATTTTCCTACAAACTGAACAAAGTTATGAGGGTCTTTGATAATGAAAAGTTAAAAAACACTTCTGTTAAGTGCACAACCTATACTACTAATTCTGCCCATCAACCAAGATGCAAGCACTTCAGTGATGGTGCTGTGTGCAGACTTCCTCACACGCAGAGATGCCATCGTTACTATTATTCAGTCCCCTACTTTATACAAGTCTAAAGGCGTCAAAGTAGTGGATTCTGAGCCTTTCAAACTAGAACATGCTCAGCAACTCTAAATGGTGTTTCTCCAAGATGTTAGCACAGTGGCAAAGCTGTCACCAGGGCAGCTCCTGTCTTCGGGCCCAAGGGTCTTTTGCCCTTCACACTTGCCTTACACTGTCCTCCTCACTGCCCTGCACTGCAGCCACACACACTTGGGGCTCTCACGCCTGCCCTCCCCACAGCCGGCCTCTGCTCCCAAACACGAGTGTCCCAGAGTAAGGACTCTGTCCATGTGTTCACTGCTGTAACTCAGGAACCTAAAACAGTGTCTTGCAGGTGAAAGGTTGCAGCAAGCACCTGCTGAGCGAATGAAGGGACGGACGCACAGGAGGACACCCATCAGTAGTCTGCAATCACTTCCTGCAGAAAGGTAACTGCAAACCACACGATCCTAACGAGAGGCTGGTGTGGCCTCCCCACCGCCCCAACAGAATCACTGAGCCCTTCTTAAATGTGCAGGCTGCACCAAGCACATGGAGGCCGTTTTCCCAGATAAGACTGCTGCATGTGCATGGAGGGTAGGTAAACAGAATCCAGTGGGCCCACCCACCGCCAGAAGAGACAGCAACTGGATCTGTTTGCTATCTTTTCTTCAGATCAGAGGAACAAGATAAAGTGCTCAACTGTTTGGCAATTTCATAGTGGCAGAGTTACCTAATCTCTTGAATGATGTTTGCAATCTGTAAAAAGCAGAGGGCAAGAACATTTCTAGAGCCCTTCCTCCACCAATACACTGTGGCTCTCACTTGGCTACTTTTCAAAGTAAGATCCAGAAACAGCTTAGCCTGTTCAGCAGGTGCTAACATTGAGGGCCATTTAGAGAGAGAGAGTGGGAATAAATGGGAGAAGATGAATTGAAGAACATGAAAAGGGGCAGAGTAGGGGAGACGCAGAGTAAAGAAAACAGAGTGAAGATAGGAAATTCTGGAAGGCAGAACTGGGAAGCAGGAAAGAGACAGAAGCTTCATCACTAGTTCTGGCCCCACTGCTCCCTGGGGCTAGGCAGTTTCGGAGAAACCACAAACACCAATAAGGAGCCTCACCCACAAACCTACTGCAGGATCCAACTTGGAGATCTCCTTTGAATGCAAAAGAATCTACCCAAAAGTACAGAGGCTTGCCCAAACTGGTTTGAAAAGGAGGGGGTTGTGTCCATGCAGAAGAGAGAAGAAGTGGGATTGTTGGCCAAATATACAACCTGAGATGCTACCAAGGTGGGGCACAGACCCATCTTTAACTGTCCAATGCTGGCTTTGTGTAAGATGTACCTTCTGAGGGCTTCTCCCTTATTTCCTCCCAAGGGATCAACCAAAGCACCACGATGTACACTGAGTCCTGTGCATAAACAGCTTCAATTGTGTTTAAATATCCTTTACAGATCATGTCCTGCCTGGGAAGTCTTGTTCTCAGGACAGCTGTTTGTGAATCAGGGAAATGTGTAGGTCAGAGCTGGTTGACCAGATGCCTGATGATGGACAACACCATGAAGCTTCCTAGAACAGCAGCAGCAGGTAGTGAGAGAAGAAAGCTCCGGATCGATTGAAGCCACATTATTAGTGCACTATCTGCCATCCTATTTTCTGCTATAGCCAGAGAAGGCAAAGCAAATTATGAGAAGAGCTCAATGACAAGGGAAATGACTTCAGTAACAGCCCTAGAAGGGCAGACCTGGGGAAGCCCCATCACAGCTCCTCAAGTTAGACTGCCAACAGCTCTAGGACCTGAAGGTGGCAGCGTATTTTCCAAAGAACTTTTCCCCCAATTTTTTCTGGTACTGGGGATGGAACCCAGGCCTTATGCATGCTAGGCAAGCGTTCTACCAGTGAGCTACATTCCCAGTGATGCACTTTTACACTTTGCTTTTGAATATAACTTCAGATTTACAGAAAAATTAAAAATAGCATAAGGCATTCCCAGCTATCCCTTGTCCTGACTCCTCCATTGTTAAGTTTATCACATTTCACTATCATCCTGTGAGTATGAGGTATATGTATTATTTATTTAACCCACTTGGAAATAAGTTAAAAAGATATGACGCTTACCCTGAATATTTTAGTATTTCCTAAAAATTAGGACATTCTTTATACAAATACAGTGTAATGATAAAAATCAAGAAATCAACATTGATTTGATACTGGAATATAAAAAGGCCTCACGCATATATTCCTTCTTTTCTCCTTTCCCCCATCCCAGCTGTTCTTTCCTTTTGAGCAGTTTCTTTCCCTTTCATAATATCTATTGTATGTTTTGGATCTTATTTACTCTTTCAGCTTCTCACACTAGGGAGACAATATGATGTTTACACACGTGAGTCCGATTTATTTCTCACTTACGAGTATGGTCTCTGGTTGCATCCATTTACCTACAAAAGCCTTGAATTTATCTTCTTTATAGCTGAGTAGTACTCCACTGCATAAAAACACCACATCTTTTCTATCCGTTCCTCAGTTAATGGACATTTGGGTTGTTTCCAAGATTTAGCTATTACACATTGTGCTGCTATAAACACAGGTGCATAATATATCACTCTGGTATGATGCTCTTTATTCTTCTGGGAAAATAACTAAGATAACTGTACTACTAATTTCTATTAATTAATTGAAAGGAACAGTTAGTGTCTATATTGCTTGATCAATCTTACATGCCTATATCCAGTAATCTGAGTAACTAGTTTGAAGATAACAATATGCAATATAATAACCATTGTTAATTTCCTATCATCTTGTTTTGAAATTCTGTACCATTTTTATTGTTTTTTTAATCCCTTTAAAAAAAGATCTTATACAAATTTGTCCAGTAGTTCTAATGATGGCCTTAGAACAAACACAAGTTTCTCTGTTCCAGGACCCAGTCCAGGGTCACAGGCAGAATTCACCGTCCTGCCCCCTTAGCAAACTTTAATCTCAACCGGTTCCTTTGTCTCTCATGACCGTGACATTTCTGAAAAGGACAGCTGCTTTTGTAGGATGTACCTCAGTTGGGGCTTGTCTGACATTTCTTCGCGATTAAATTCAAATCATGCATTTTTGGTTGGGATACTAGAGAAGCGAGCCTTCTCACAGTATTTTCTCAGAGACACAAGAAGTCGAGCTGTCCCAAGACTGGTGACATTTAACTTGATCAGTTGGTTAAGGCAATGTACGCCAAGTTTCTTTCCTGTCAAGTTTATAAGTAATAAGTAATTTAATGGGAAATACTTAAAGAAATCATCAAATCTACCTCTTTCACTAAAGGATTCTTACTGGGAGAAGGATAAAATTTGTGTGAGGTCACAAATTCAAGTCCTAAGAATAAAACTAGGGCTGGATAAAGCAGTACTTGGTGAGGAAGAATTAGCATGTGAGGTTCCTGTCAGACTTAATTCAAATAACTCCAGTTTAACTAGCTACTGAGAAGAGAAAATCCAGAAAGACCACTTAACATTAGCTGAGGAGAGTACACTTGAGATGGGAGTGTGCCGGTTTCTCTCCTTACACTCCAGACCTGCTCAAAACCCTGTCCATTCACAAGGTAGCCATGGCAGCAAGAAGAGAAGCCCAAGTCCATGGCTGACAGAGTCACACCACTGCTTCACGCCTGGGGCAAACCCAGGGGGCGCCTGGGCCACCGTGGCACAACGAAAGGGGCTCAATTTTAAAACAAGAAGTCAGCTCCCCTCCGCCTCACAGTAAACAGTGAGCAGGCTTCAGAACTCCAAAATCTGCCTTGTCTAGGAAACGTTAGTAAAAGCTCTGTTATCATACAGGGAGGACCTTCAGAAAATACATGAAAGCAGGAAAGCCACTGAAAAGACCCTTATCTGACAAGCCAGGGAAACCCACGCGGACACGCAGCTCTATCCCACCAGCCTCCGCCCTGCGCACACCCACACCTTACCACGCGCGGCCTCGTGCTGTCTATGCCGGCCTTCTTTAAACTGAGTCCTGCGGGGACTGAAGACCCCCAACAACAAAGGGCTGGGGCGTTTATTTTTCTCAGTTCTCCTAAGGACGGTCCACAGCCAGAATCATTCTGGGGGCAGAATGTTAACTCTTAACACAATTGTTGCCTTTCATTAGGGCTTTCTTATAAAACCCTGTGTTGCTTTGTAATCTGCTTTGCTCAATCGATAATCCTTTAAACAAACACCTAAAGTACTTTCCCATACCAGAGACTGAGATTATAAAAATAAACACGACACTCTTAGTCTTTTTCAAATGAATGATCTACTAGGAAAACTCAAAACATCCAAATAAAGAAGTGAAGGAATTGATCGGGGAGCTGCCGTTGGCCTGAGTGTCCTGGGCTGGGAACCACAGGTCCACTCGAGGAAATCTGGGAGGCCCTCCTGAGGAGGTGACGTATGAATGGGTCCCTGAAGGATGAGCGAGATTTCTGAGAGGGAAAGAAGAGAGGGGCAGGCCCCAAGGGTCTTTGGGGAGAGTGGTCAAAAGATGCAGCTTAAAGAAACCAGGGCCTCCAAATGCTGGTTCCAAGCAGGAGAGCGGTGAGATCACAGCACGATGGAGCAGGCCGGGGCGGTGGGGGGCGGGGGGCGGCAGAGGGCCCTGACGCCACGGCAGTGCAGGGTGATGGAGGAACTGAGTCAGAGCCAGGAAGGCAAGAAGGGGACTGCGCAGGAGATGGAGCAGAGGAAGTGCCTCAGAACTCGATGCCCGAGCCCAGGAAGGCTGTTCTGTGAGCACCACGCCAAGTTCCCGACTGCAGAACAAATTCAGGTCACTAACAGCCGGCAAGAAGGCTCTGCACGCTGCTACAGCTCTAGAGGTGACTTAGCGGCAGAGGCAGGGGTGGCCCCTCGGGGAGACTGAGGCCAGAGGGAACAGGACAGGACTGGAGCCCGCTGAAGAAGCTGCCCAGAGGATCGCCTAGGTGCCCGCGGGCCCCCAACAAAGCCCTCTGTAAGAGCTGCTGGAGGGAGCCCAAGTGGCAGCGCACTGTCACGCAGAATCCGCTGCAGGAGGAAAAGTCTGCGGCCACCCCGTGGGTGCCGCCAAGTGAGCTCCCAAAGCTACACTGTAAAAGGAAGATCCCTCTCTTAGACTAAAGACAAGTCATTGCGCTGAATAAGTAATTCTTAATAGGAAAAAGTGAGGCTCAGTCTGCAGTATGGACAGTTCACAACAGCTACTGTGAGACCAGCACAAACGGGCTTCCGCACGGGAATCTCCCCCCAAGCCGGAGCACAAAGGGATGGGGTGACGGGTGGGGGGAGGGGGCAGGGGGTGACTGCGGGCAACCCTAAAGGAACCAAGATCCCACTACCTCACAAAGGCAGGCAAGGGTGAGGTTTTTGGGTGGTGGAGTATGAAAGTGACGCTGTCAAACAGGGCCTTAGCAATATTTCTCAAGGAACAGCTGGCCAGGTGGGTGGGGACCAACTGGTGAGCAATTTGCTCGGCGAGCAATTTGCTCGGCAGCTTTGACAATAACCAGGGTACTCAAAAGTCCTGTTTCTCCTATAGGAACCGAGGAGCTGGGCTCATCAGATAAAGCCCCCAATGGAAAGCTGTCATGACCCTGAAAAAGCAACTGGAAGGAAAGTGTTTGGGACAACCTGGGGTGTTTGGGACAACCTGGGGTCTGACAGAACCTGGCGATTCAGGGACTGCAGGTGAGAGAGACACAGGAAGATTCTGCTTGGGCCACAGAACAAATTAAACGTGTTTATATTTATTTTCTGTTCTCCTCCACTAGCCCCCAGAACTGGCGATTAAATCCAGGGCCTCTGCGCTGAGCTATGGCCTCAGCCCTTTTTAATTTTTGAGACAGGATTTTGCTAAGTCACTAAGTTGCTAGGCTGGGCTCACACTTGTGATCTTCCTGCCTCAGCCTCCCAGAATGCTGAGATTAGAGGTGTGTGCCCCTGCACCCAGGTACATGTTTGTACATGTTTGTACAGGTATACTTAATTGACAACTTGACTGGCTTGGGAATCACCTCAGGATGAGAAAAGCACACTTTCAATGTGTCTGGGGTGCTCATGGAGATGTGACCTTCGGGTCTACACCTGGTCCTTGACCTCTTTGGCTCTTCCCGTGCTCTGCTTCCCTAAAGCCGCACAGGGCACAGCTCTGCACCACCACACCCTGCCCCCACAAGACTTCTGCCCTGGAGCCCACTGACCAGGGACTGACACCTCTACAATGGGCAGGCAAACCTCTTTTGCCTAAAGTTGTATGTGTTGAAATTTTGTACAAGCAACAACAAAGTTGAATAATACAATATTTATATTTCTAGCTGTTTTGTTTCGTTTGTGGTATTAAAAATTGAACTCAGGGAGTGTTGCTGAGCTACATCTCTGGCATCCCCAGCCCTTGTTATTATTTTTTAAATTTTGAGACAAGGTCTTGCTTGCTAAGTTTCTCAAGTTGGCCTTGAACTTGCAATCTTCCTGCCTCAGCTTCCTGAGTAGCAAACCACCACATCCGGTAATGTGTTCTTATTTCTAAAACCAAGAACATATACTTAGGTTTGTAAGAGGAATGACTAAAACACTTGATTTCCTTTCATCTCCTAATCACACATCCCTTTTATCCCCACTCCAAGAATTTGGAAGCCAGCATTTGGGGGGGTTTCCAAACAGATATGCTAGTTCTTACTCACAAGCTAGCTTTTACTCAAATGTGGAGTGTGCCCCTGGGGATATAGCAATAAGCAACACAGACACAGTCCCTCCTGCAAAAGGCTCTTACAGTCTTCTTTTCATGGTTTTTCTTATTCACTTATTCTGCATTGGATATGAGGGCAAAGTATTAGATATAAAGGAGTTGGGGTATCTTCCCTGAGGAAGAAATGCTTCTGCCATGGTCTGGGCAGGAAGCGGAGCAGGCTGAGGTGGCAGGTGTCACCGTCATGGGGACAGCAGGCACTGCTGGGAGAAGCCTGGGTGTGGTGTGTCTAAAGGGTCTGCCAGCAGAAACACTACGCCAAGAGCGCTGGCAGAGTAAAGCTGTCCCTGCCATGGGGACTGGAACTTTTACCCTCTTGGGATAAAAGCGTGCAACTGGGAGTATTTAAAGTAGAATTGGATCCTGAAGACATCTCTTCTGGGGCAGGACTGGAGATAGGGACATCCTCTCAGGAGGCAGGACCAGTCAGGACCTGCCGTGGGGACCCAGAGGAACACGCATGTGCCTGGGAGTGCACCGTCTACAGGGAACAGAGCCGCCTGGGCCACCGCACAGGGACCCCTTGCTCTCGCAGGGTGAGGGTCGGGAGCGTACTGCGTGCTGCAAAGACACGGATGCGATGGCCTAGTTTCCTGCCCCCAGACCCGCCTCTGAACCCAGGTCTGGTTCTTAAACCTCTCTGTGCCTTTGTAAAATGGGACTAAGACTGGCATCACACTCATGGGGCTACAGCGAAAATCGCACAACATAATACACTCATCACAACAGAGAACCCAATACATACAGCATTCACTTCTTTCTAGCCTATGTTCTGCAGCATGTGTGTTCACCTGAAAAGAACAGCAAGCAGGCTCTGAAGGCAGTAGGAACAGAAGACTATAAAGCAGCTTATTAATAATTTACCTTACATAGTTTGAAGAGGTGTTACTAGGTGCCTAAGAGTTTAGAAATGTGTATCTTCCTCTTCCCAGGGAGCTGAGACCTGGGTCCACCTGTTTCTTTTTAATTTTTTAAATGTAGCTACTAGAACATTTAAAGTTATAGGTATGGCTCAGGTTATAGTTCTACTGAACAGCACTGAGGCACAAGGAAGACAAGCAAGAAGCCCACACAAGCGCCCAGCCCTGGGTGACTCGGAACTTGACTGCAGAAAATGACAAGCAAGATGTGGCTATCGGAGGCCACACTCTGCCTCTGTCCTCCTTGCTGCTGGAGGCTAGATAAGAGAAGAAGACAAGATGTTTATGAAAAATAGAAAAGGGGTGAAGAACAAGCCTGGGTAAGATGAAAAGGCAGAGGCTGAGATACGAAGGTGGCCAGGGAAAAAGAAATTCTACGTGTTTAACAGAAAAACTCAGATCTCAATACACCTCTTCAGATCTCAATACACATAAGCTTTTACTTAGGAAAACCACACAGTCTTAAAAATAGCCTTAACAGTTCAAAATACATAAGCGTTAACTCATCAAAGTGGACCTTGTAAATTTGTTATTTTTATCAAGCCTACCAAATCCTATCACACAACACTGAACTTCTATAATTCCAGATGTTAAAAACTGGCAGAAAAAAGAGACTACATGGGTGTAGAAGCAGTGGGCCATCCAAAAACCTAATCCTTGACATTTTTCCATGCTGTAACAGGAGAACAAAAATGTCTCATATGGCTCAAAAGCCCAAGTGAGAAATGGGCTTTTCCTCCAGATCCCTGCGGGGGAGGATTCTTAAGTGGAAATCCAGAGGCTGTCAAGCAAGGGAGGACAGAGAAGTAGGCACAAAGGATGAATACAGTGTCACAATGGCTCAGGTGACAGGTTTGTTTGCAGTAAGAGGGGTGGAAGCTGAGATCATGTTAAGGAGTTTGGCCCAAGAAACTCTCCTCTAAGGTCAGAGGGTGAAAGGTTCCCCCTGCCCTGCTGTGGTACTTGGGGAACCTGGAGCCTAGGGGTGACTGTACCTCATAATCCTGACTGCTGGAACTATTCCTGCCTTGGTCTCCTCAAAACTGTCACCTTTATCACCTAACTACTAATATAGTTATTCTAAAACTAGAATAAAATGGTTCAATCCTATTTCCTACACAATTAATCCCACTCCTTGCCATAGACAGACGTGTCCAACTTGTTGCTTGGGGATTAGACATACCTGTTATAATAAAAAAAAACCTGAAGGAAGTTTTGCTACTTATATAGTTACATTACATATTTTATATGCAGCCCAAAAAAACCTCCTCTACTCAGTGTGGCCTAGGCAGCAAGGCAGGTCCAACTTACAGACTGCAGGTCAGACACACCTGGCTACAGAAAGGCACAGTTACCAACATCATGACTTCCAGTCAAATGCTGGAAACTGCCAAATGTCCAATGACAGCGCAGGGATAAATATGGCCACTAAGGGCAACCACAATGAACACAC